GGGCGGGCAGCGGGGAGGATGAGTGCAGGACCGGTGAGACGAGACGGAGCGAAACGGCGGGAAAGGGGTTGCGGGAAGGAAGACGTGCGCGGGCGACAAACCCGGGAGAGAGAACGATCTCCTCGCCTTTGGCGCGACGCACTCTCTCTCTCCCTCTAGTTGCCCCGGCGGGCGCGCGACGCGGAAAATCGCGCGAACAACGGTGAGGCGCGGCGTGATGTCGCGCGGTATCGCGCCGCTATGTCTGCTGCCGCGCCGTCTGGCCGCCGCTGCTGCTGCCGCCGCCGCCACCCCGGCCGGGGTGGCTCGGCGCGCGCGCGCGCGTCGCCCCTTACTACGTCTACGATGAGCGAGCCAGCTCGTGGCGTTTCGGTAGTACGTTGTTTCGAGGGCGAGAAAGGGGGCGGGGAGCGACCCCGTCTGCCGCCCCCGCGCCGCCGCCACCGCCGCCGCCTCCGCGGGGGGTGGTGAAGGTGGAGCGCTCCATGGCAGCGGCGGCGCCAGTAACACCGGCGGCCAGCCAGCGCGACATCGGTCGGAGGCCTCCTCGGCCACCCCCGGCGGCTCGCGCTTCCCGCGGGTCGACGCGGGAGGGGATGAGCGAGGCGGGCGAGTGGGAGAGACGTCGCGAGAAAGACGGATGGGGTGGGGGCGGCGGCGGCGTCGGCGCGCGAGGGTGGGTGGGGGAGTAGGGGATAAAAGCGGCGGAAGGTGGAGGAGGCTCGCCGTTCCGCGCGGCGGGGACGGGGACGGGGGTGGGGTGAGCGCGGTCCCGACCTTACGCCACGTTACGGGGGTGTAACGCAGCGCAAGCCCGGTATCATTGATTTAACATATATCTATATCTTACATAAAGACAGCGAGAGCTTTTCCTAAGGCCGGCGGGCGGGGGCGGGGGGGGGGGAAGGAGGGGGGTAACGTCGCGTTACACTTGTCCAGGCATGGCGCGCGGACTGCGCGGCGGCGTTACGCGCGCGCGAATTGCGCAACAATGCGCGAGGGAGATCTGTCTTTCTCGCCTTTTTTTTTTCTTCACTCACCTCACCGAGGAGACCGTTTAAGATAGATCGCCCGAGATCGGAGTCGATACGATGATCTCTGGAGAACTGACGGCTGCAAATAGTTTCTTCGTAATAAATTGCGGGCATCATACGTACAATGATGGACAGAATTGGTGGCGACACTTTTTTTTTAATGGGTAAAGAACATGCATTTAAATTGAGGGTTCCGTTTCAAAATCTTCCCCGACCCATACAGCACAGATGGTTGCAGTTACATTGCAGGAACGTTGCAATCTTGCAGATTGCAGTGCAAAGACATTGCAGGGATATAAAGTTGCAAACTTTCGATAGCAATATTGCAGCAATGTTTCAAAAATAATAAAAATACTATATTTTCTATTTTAAAAATTTTCTATTTACGAGAATTTGATAATGTTATTTTCGTTGATACCAATAATGCGCGAATTAAAGTACTTGATCAGTGCGGTGTTGCTCGCAATCTCCATCTATTGCGAAGCGACATAATCTCCTTAGGTTGCTTCGTAATAGCTTGCTGTGTATTGAAAAAGGCCCGGATACATATGTAATTAGTAAATTCTCTGCTTATGGTCAACAACAAATTATTCCAAAAATATTGCACTGCAACGTTGCTATAATGTTGCACTGCAATCTCTGAGGGCCAACATTTCAACGTTGCTGCAATCCTCCAGTAACGTTGCAGCAATGTTGCGCAACGTTGCTGCAATATTGCAATCTTGCAATGTAACATTTCTGCAATCTTCCTGCAATCTTTCTGTGCTGTGTGGGGAGAACTATTTTACTCGGTGGTCACTCCGAAACTACATATTTCGAGCGTTTCCGATCTATTTCTCAAGTAAACTCGTTTTAAAAACACTGTCGCAACCATTCTGTCCATCACTGCCCACACAGCACAGGAAGATTGCAGAAATGTTACATTGCAAGATTGCAATATTGCAGCAACGTTGCGCAACATTGCTGCAACGTTTGATCAAGTACTTGATAATTCGCGCATTATATTGGTATCAACGAAAATAATATTATAAAATTTTCGTAATTAGACAAATTTTTAAATAGAAAATATAGTATTTTTATTATTTTTGAAACATTGCTGCAATATTGCTATCGAAAGTTTGCAATTTTATATCCCTGCAATGTCTCTGCAAGATTGCAACGTTTCTGCAATGTAACTACAACCATCTGTGCTGTATGGGTGTGCATATTTTTAAATACGACAAATGCGCTTTAAGTAATGCATACTTGATACTTGGAGTAAATATACCTCGGTGGAAATATCTTACAGAGATATATTTGGAAATCTCTCTGAATTGGCTCGGTTTTATTTCATCAATATTTTAGGGTAAAAATCAGGGAGAAGTCAGTTTCATCGAAAAGCAACACAGCTCTTAGTTAAATTCAATAAACTTCATAATTTTTTCATTACTTTCCAACGATATATTTTAACCTTTCTTATATCTTACAGTAGATTACGTTGAATTTCGCTTAAGGCAATTGTAATTTATTTTAAGACATTCAGTAATTTTTCAATAACTTTCACTTCGTCGACCTCATAATACTTTCAGCGAAATATTTCCATCGCGGTGTATATGTATATATACGATGATACCCACTCCGACTTACCCCGGTAATTATTTTTTGCATAATCGCAATGAGACATTCCACTAGCTAGAAATTGCTAGACTCAACTTTGTTATAGAGCTCAATTCATCGTAGTGTTTCGTATTAATTTGGACTTTTATTTCTTTCGCGACATCTCAGTCATCTCTCAGGAAGAATAAAACATTGCGTCGTCTTGCGTTTGTATTTGCGCGCAAACAACGTGAGTCTTAACACCAACGCCTAATCTACAATGTGCTCTCTGCGTCTGGAAACATTCTACTTTATAGTTAATGAATACGTTTATAAAATGTGTGCAAGGTGATAAATTGTATTATATATTATACATTGTATAATCGTACATTGTTGACAAACTTTTTAAGCCTTTTGATTTGTTTATATAAAATAGAATGTTTCTAGATGTAGATTAGGCTCAAGAGTATCTACGTTTAAATTCAAGAAATTGCAACATTGAAAGTCCCTTCGATACAGTAAACACCAATGTTACACGATATCAATATTATAATTTTCTACTCAGTAATGTAACTTAAGCACATGTGTTACATGTACACGTGTGCCAACATCTTCATATACACTCATTACCAATAATTATATTATTTTAGGAACAGATACGCTGATGAACACTAAGTAAAGTCGAAACGTTTGTCAATTTAAACTATTACTTCTAAATTTTAATTATTTTGTTATTACATATTTAGATGTTAGGTAAACGCGTCATCTTATATTTTAAGTTAGAGTAAGATAACTATGTTACGCGTTTAATTATTAAACATCCTAATTTTATTGTTACATTAAACTGATCACTGCTCGCAACACTATTGGCCTTAAAAATTTTTAACGTTTATTTTATTTCAATTAAGACGAGCCTGCGTTAATTTTGTTACATTATACTTATAATATATTGTTAAGTGGACAATTATAATATTGACGTTATGTACATGTAATTGTTATTTGACGTTCATCGGGAGAGCGGGATGCATGCACTTACCTGGCTGTACGTTTTATATCGCTATGCTTATACTTGGCGCAAGACACTACCGTGTCTCTAAAATAAATCTCTGTATCATATTGAACCGTAAAACTGACAAGAGATCAACTGACGAGGTCGTAGACCGTAAGGAGCATGCAAGTCAGTTACGAGTTTACAAGTAACATACCGCCGAAAGAATTAGACCCAGGAGAATTTGTATAATATTTATTTGTATTTGGATTCTTTCAGTTTTATACTTTCGTTCGTAATAACGCGGAAACCATACGTAAACATCTTATTTACTTATCTTAACTTTAAAAGAGTGAAAACTTAATTTCATTTATACAAATATTCCTTACACACATACTCTCGTATATCTATATATATTCTTCAGTTTTTTTTTCTTCGCACAAGTACCTGTTCTATCAATAACGGTGAAGAAATTACACGCGCGCGCGCATAGCACTACATCGAAAACATTGTCGTAGAATACTCGTTCAACTTATTGTTAGCGTAACGCAAAAGTCCACCGCTAGGATAATTTACACTTGTTACTTTGTTTTTTGTCAAGACCTCTCGTTGCGAAATATGCGAAAAGGGTGAGAGAATCGAAATGCGCAAACAGATAGCAATTGTATATGACGAGTGTATCGCATAGTATTATAGTACACACGAGTTACCATTTTCTTTTCACGTACCTGCGCAACCGTGCATCTTGGATAGTATCTAATGCGACTTGTCTACGTTAATCAGATGCGACGATTGTACAGATTACATAAGTAAACCCACAACAGAGATATTTCTCCGTGAGGTACAGAATTACTTCTCGCCCACGCCCCCCCTCGACAGATTATACCTGATTACGCGTCACACGTCCTTGTACGGCTTAGTCGTACACATCTCTCTCAAAGTGCGAGACAATTTTGTGCGTGAATCGGAAAAATGTAAAAATGTAAGAAAGACTTAAATAGTATCACATATTGATGTATTTCTCTAAATATGTATAATTTCCAGCTTTATAAATCTACTGCACGAATCACGCTATTTGTTACCGCCGTGTGCATAACGTTGTATCAGGATCACTGGGTTCTTCGGAAAAACTGATTGCGCTCGTTTTCTGTGCCAAGTCTGCAGGCGAGTGCGGGGGAGGGGGAGGAAATTATAAAAATGGGACTTTCCGTTAACTTTACAATTATCGATAAATTAACTTATACGTTATTACTTCACACATTTACAGAATTATTTCTGTCACGCGTACATTAACGATGGGCCGCAGCTCCTGTTGCGCATAATCTTCCGGCAACGGTAGTTGAGATATTAAACGGACCAGTAACTTTGTGACGGACTGCTCTTCGTTTTTCTGTAGCAATAGCATATTTCTAGTCAAATGGAGAGTCCTCTTTGCAATTTCAGCTTGGCACAATCTAGAGAGGAAGAAGAAGGCCTTAAACACAGGACGAAGAAGCGATGCAATTGCAAGAGCGTGTATCGGTCGTACCTGTGTTTAGCAGTCGGGCATGGGAATTGATCGATTTTGTGACACAAGCCCGTTAATCGAGGCTTTAACGCTTCCAGTTGATAAGTTAGTCCACAGTAATCCGGAGCGGACTTTAACAGGTTCTGAATCTCGCCAGTTATTTCCATGTACTCCCACAGGAGCTGCCCCTGATGCGACCATCCACTAATTGTGCCGCTACATTCAATCGGTACCAACGGGCTTAACAGTGATTTTAAATACTCGTAGTTTTCTGTAATATAGAATATAAAATGACGAGATATTGTTTGCAATCCGGTTATGGGAGAAAGAGAGGAAAGAAGGTAATAAAAGGTCTAAAGAAGAGATGTTAAAGTGGAAGGGGGAAAGAAGGAATACAAAAGGACAATAAGAGCAACAAAAATAGAGGTAGAGTAAAGAGGTGGATAAAGAAGAGGTACATAAAGAAAATACTGGCAGAGCAGGAATAGAGGATGGAAACAGGGAAAGGACAGAGGTTTTTAGGTTCTCTTCTTGGCACAGTAAGCTGAAGTGGAAAGGAAAAGATCGGTAGGGAGAAAGGAAGTAACATCGCGAACACCCATAGCTCTTCGAAGCATGAAACATATACGTTACACCTCCTGAAATTGAAAAACCCTACATTGCTTTCACTCCAATATCGTCTGAATCTGAAGTCAGAATCTGAAATCTTAAAATTATCGACGATTGATTCAATGTAGCAGCTCAAAATTAAAGTTTTAATTAAAAAATTTTGTTTTCCACAAGATGTTCTGTAGTCAAAAAATCATTTCTATAAACGACATTCCGAAGCTAAGATATCTGGAGGTTTTCGAGATCGCTGATTTCTAATCTGAAGTAAAAATTTGAAATTTTTCTAATTCCAAAATGGTGGATCCAAGAGTCGCAATTGCAACAAATGCAATTGATTTAGTTGGAACTCGGTACTCGGAAGCTTTTCAGGTTTCTGATTGCGTATACGAGGTCAGAATTACAAAATTTATAATGGCGGATTTAACATGGCGTCCGACATTCTGCATTTTTTTGTAATTTTGACACCAGAATCGTAATCAGCAACCTAAAAAACCATTAAGTATTAAGGGTTCCAGGAAACTCGGCAAAGGAAAAATGTATGCTTCAAAGGAAGGGATTAAGAAGAGACGAGGAAGAGGACCGTGGCAACTTCGACGAAGGATAGTATAAGGACCGAAGAAAGAAGAAGAGGCGAAAGTACATAAGAAGTACTAGGACTGTTAGATTACGAATAGGACAGTTAGTTGCGCGTAAAACAAAATATGTGGAAGATACGAGTATGTTAAGTCAAACCAAGTCCCATTTCGTGGAAGACTTGATATACTGAAGTGTAACAAAGCGATTGACTAATATACAAGGTGCTCCGCAGTTTCTTGATCGCCGTTCGAGGGGAAGGTAGAGGAGGCTATGGCAAACAGAAAAGTCCTCTGAGTAGGGAGGCGCGCACTACCTCGAGCGGCGGCCGATGGGTGGACGCATCTCACCGCGCGCCTACATTTGGCAGTAGGTCGGGTTAATACGGCGACTTTTCAACATCAATATCTCGATAGCCATTGTTCCAGTTGCAAAACGGTAGAGGACTTGTCTGTTTATCTTAGTCCCGATTACCTTCCCGTGAACGGCGGTCAAAAACTGCAGAACACCCTGTGCATTGTCTGCAACGTACAGCGCCAGCATGTAGGAAAAGAAAAGAGGAGGGAAGTGACCGATACCATTTATTATAGCGTCAGCTGCCAGATGCTCTATAATAATTTCGTGAGCCGGGGTCCACTGTTCCGCCTGGATGTAGTACCAGGCCGCTTCGCCATATCTGCAAAAGTGTCGAATCTCTTCAAGTATGTCCAGGGCTTTATTTCAATTAACAAATATAACAATCAATTTCTCTTATATTTTCACATATAAATGTATTGATAATGAAATGTTTGAATATGTATTGTTAAATTATATGTAATGTATTGTTAAATTATACCTCTTATTGACACTGCTTTTGATAGCCTTGGCCTGGTGGATCCAAACTGACGATATACCAAGCTCCTCCTTCAAAAACTGCTCACGCTTCACGTATTCCGGGGTATCGTCTATTTCTATGTGGCGCAGCAGCAGGTCTTGCACAGCAATTCGTCGTCTAGACGAATCCCGTAGATGAAGTAGTACAAAGATCGCCCAGTGCCAGAGTCCATGAGCTTCCAATTGAGTCGCAAAGTTTGTATGGGTTAATGCGGCGACATGATCGGAGAGGTGCGTGTAGCCTAAAGCCACGAGTGTTTGTTGCACCAACCAGCTGTCAGAGAGATAATGTACACGTATTAAAACGATATTTTACATGCGCACACGATATTAATTAGTTGGCATTTAGTTCACAGTTATAGTAAAAACGATTAATTTTGCAAAATGTATTGTTTTTATCTTGTTAATGCATTAGTTGACTTTGAAAATTCGAAACTTCGAAACTTCGAATCTTCGAAAACTTCAATTCTCAAATAATTTCTACGAAGCTTCGAATCTTCGAAGATTCGAAGCTTCGAAATTGAAAATCTTCGAAGAAAAATTTCAGCTCTAGTTTCGAATATTCGAAGTCAACTAATGTATTAACAAGATATAATAAAAAACTATAACACTATATATCTATATAAGTTTGATAGTCTACCCTCAATCACCAATACAGGCGATAAATCAGGTTGGTCTTTGTAAAGCTTATATGTTAAAGCATTAGTTGACTTCGAATATTCGAAACTTCGAAACCTTCAAGCTTCGAAACTTCGAAAATTTGATATTCGAAGTTTCTTCGTTTCTTCGAATTCTTCGAAGTTGCGAAGCTTCGAATAATTAAGACCACTAATATGTATACATACAGGGTATGTACAGTACCGGCCAAAAGTATTGTATATCACCTTTAGATTTTCTGAGGATAACTTTCGTCAAAGTGCACCGAATGTGCTCAAAATTTTACAGTAGACAGCTGATATGTAATAAAATTTGACAAAGTACATAATGATTTTCGAATTTTTCATTCGAGCACTTTAAAATTAGTTATGCTCAAAAAATCGAAAGGTGATATAATATTGGCCGGTAGTGTATGTACAGTCCGCCCTTCTCCCCCCCCTTTGATTCGCATCGCATTGAACGCACTTAATTTCCTTTTAATACGAAATCACCTCAATCTATAATCCAAGGGATTTGCGGTGTACGCCAGCGGATTGAGAAGTTCGCCCAGATCGTGATTTCCCGTGCAGTACAACTTGAGAAGGTGAAAACAGAGATCGTGTATCCGTTTGCCATTACTCAACTCGGCGTCGTACTCGTTCTCCCTGTACTCGGGTTCGGGTACCGCCGCGTACGCCTGAGCCTCCGTCGCGTTGAACGACGTCTCGTAGAGGTCTAGGGCGTCAGTGATGGAGCAAGTCGGCGGCGACAGGTACCACAGATGTATAGCAAAGGCTCGTTTCCAGTCTAGGTCCTCGCACACGTTGATAGTACCGTGTTTGCTGGAGATGAGTGGTTCGCCCGCCACCAGCATAAACAGCTTCAGACGCTCGATCGTGAGATTCTCGTCGACGTCGGTCTCCTGCCACAGCGCGAGCTGCTGCTTGATCAACTTCTGGACCGTCACGCCACTTCGCAGCTGCGCCATCAGCAGCGCCAAGCAATGGTCCCCGGCCTTTCGCGCCTCCTCGCAAGCGTCCTCCAGCTTGCAAGCGGACAGCAGCGACAACATTATCTTCTCGTGCGAGTTGCCCTCGCCGTCGATGCTCTTGGTCTCCCGCTCGACCGTCTTCTGCACCACGTTCCTCAGCCAATCGCCTACGGCTTCCCGCCTCACCATGACGTTGTAGTGCTCCTCGTTAGCGCTCTCGGCCATGTCCTGATCGGCGTAGTTTCCCCAGAGCGCCACGCACAGAGTCCACACGGTACTCGCGTACCGACGGAACGATCTCTCACCGGCGCTGGCGCACCGCGTCTGCTCGTCCTCGCCCGGCCTCTGCTCCCTCTCCGCGAGATCCTGCGCCAGCGTGCAGTGCAGCTGCAACGCCTCGTTCGCGCTGTCGGTCGCTACGTCAAACGTGGGACAGTCCCCCTCGTGGCCCATCACGCAGTGATCTAACTGGACTCTCAAGTGACGCTCCACGCTGTCCTGGAACGTTTTCATGTCGTACTCCTCGCCCCCGAGGATCTGCAGACGTTGGACAATCGCCGTCGACGATACGTCGTCGGCGAGGCGGCCGGAGACGTAGCGGCTCAGTTGGCTGAACGTGCTCCGCAGTTGCATCTTGGTCGCCTGCTCCTGCGTGCTCAGAGACAGCAGCGTCAGACCAGCGCCCCAGCTTGCTCGGAACTTCCTACCCATGTATATGCCGGCGTCGGCGACGCAGCGAAATCGCAATCTGTTCAACCGGGACTCCTTGAGTGGCACGACCTCGTAGTGATACTTCAACACGCTTGTCACCGGCGTGACCGCGGCTGGCGGAACCGCTCTCTCGGCCATCGGCTGCTTGTCTCGCGCGCCAATGCGAGGAAAGTGCAACCTCTTGCTTGGGTGGAGCGCCTTTTCCGGCGAACACGTGGAGAACAGAGTCTCGTTCGCGACCAGAGTCGCTCGTAACATCGTAGCGTTGTACGGGATCTCGTCGCTCTTGGCTTCCGCGACGTCCGGAAAGTAGCGTACCAGGGTTTTCTGCACGGAGGGGCATATGCCGACCTCCTCGTTCACGTCCTCGTCGTTCACGTCGAAGAAGCTCGCCTTCATTAGCTGCAATTTGTGGCTATCCGTACCGGCGACTCGAGCATTATCGCCGATCGGACTGACGGTCATTCGTTTCTCGTAATTGTAGTCCCCGGAAACGAAACCGGACTGGCCGAACGGTGTCTCCCCGCCCGGGCTGACCATCATCCCTCGTTCCTCGTAACTGTGATCGTTGTAGGCAAAACGGTTGATCGGGGTCGTGCCTAAAAAATTGTTTTCGACCATGCTCGAATGCTGCTTGTCGTTTCCGATCTTTCCACCGTCGAGCGTTCCGTTAACCATCGCTCCGTTCATCGCCCCTTTATTCGTCGCCGTCGACGGATCGACCGGCTTGCCCTTTTGCACAGCCGGGGGAAACCCCTTCAGTTTCTTCGCCTCCGAGATCGGCGGGGCCTGATTGTCGTCCTCGTCCGAATCGCTGAGACCGTACTTGGAAAAGTGGTCGACCTTGAAGACCCACGAGCCGGTCTCCGGCCGGTACTCGAGGAAACGGGTGTCGTGCTTCGCGGATACTCTACGCAGCTTGCCCTCGTAGTTCATCGCGGCGAGCCGCTGCGGATCCGTGATCGGCTCGTGCAGCGACTTGTCGTGCGGCCACACCTTGTCCAGCGTGACCTGTGCCCTTCGGTTCAAGCCCTGTCCCACTGGCGGTTTCTTTTCGTCGTCGGGATAAATGATCACCTCCTTGTGACGGAAGTGTACTGCAACAAACGCAATAGACGATCTAAATATAAATCCTTTTAAAGAAGAATATCACTTAGAGTCGCCAGTGATGATTAAACATTTAAAAGTGAGCTTATTGTCGACCCAACTGGTAAATTTTATTAAATCCATTTCTAACGAATCCTTCTCTCAAAGAAAGATGTTTGTTAAATCAATCGTAGCAGGGAGTCGTGTTAACATTCAACACTCCTATTGTTTGTGCCCCCACGAGCAGAAAAGTGTCTAAAGCTTTTTTCTAACTTGGTATACAGAGGTTTTTGGGATCGTTGAATTATACAATTTTGAGGTCAAAATTGTAAAATTCAAAATAGTGGATCATAATTTCGAAAAATCAACCAGAAACGCGTTGTTTCTTAATTAAAATTAAACTAAATTTATTCTTACTATAAATTTGACTACTCAGTGACAACATGTATATTCGTTTGTAGCCTCTAGACTCCGACTCGCTATTATTAAATACGTTAATTAGAATTTTTTTATTTTGTTCTGAAATTCGTATAGTCTGCGATGCCTCTAAAATCCCTCTATAGAATTTTAAAAAATTTGAAAACCCTCCAAATTCAGGACGCAGAGTAAATATCACGTACACTATGGTTCTCTATGTTTTTGAGATCAGTGACTACGTTTACACGTCGCCCTTAATCGGGTTTAATAACATCTGTAGTTATAAAACTGACCAATCACGACTATTCTTCAGAAGAATGGAATGACTGCGATTGGTCAGTTTTATTACTACAGATGTTATTAAACCCGATTAAGGGTGACGTGTAAACATAGTCATTGAATTCAGTTCTGAAATCAGATTTTTTTAATTCCCAAATCCAAGCTGGCGGATCCAGTATGGCAGACCGAAATAGACAAAAATTCACCAATTTTCATGGAAATCAATGTACAGGGGTTTTTTAAGTCGCTACTAAATTCAAATCTCAAGTTAAATTTTAAGGATTTAAAATGGCGAATCCATCGGTATATGCACTGATTTTCACGGAAAATGTTGCACTTTTTCAATTTTTGATCAACTATATTGGAACCGTCATTTAAAATTGAAAAAAATCTTCAAATATAAAGATTTTTAAACTTCATATTTGAATTTTGCGACCAAAAAATCCTTTGTATATCGATTTTTATAAAAAATGAGTTTTCTCAAGTTTCAAGTTGTTTATAATAAAACAAAACTTATAAAATCGACAAAATAACAATTCCGTTACCAAATCCCAACCCTTGAGTTATTGTAAAATAAAAAATTTTAAAAAAATTCAAATAGAAGTTATACCGAAAAAACCGAGATAATAAGGTGTTAATTAAAGACAACACTATGACTGAAAGGGTTAAGATAAAAATATCCTTTGTCAATAATATTGTTGCTATATCGATCTTATTTTATGATAGAAAAGTAAGAGCACTGGATTCGTATCTTTTCCACGTGGGTGTACAATTAAATTAATATATTTACAAATTACCGATTTCATCAAAGTTCAAGCCGTATATGTCGAACGAATCCGGGAAGTATACATTGCCGTAACCCTCACGGCCGATGGTAAAGTTTGGCACGACGCACGTCTCACCGCAAACAAAATCGTCTAATTTATCGAGCGATGGGATCGTGTAGTAGCCAGCTCGTCGCAATGTAACTTTGGCCATGTTCACAGTCCAGTTTGATTGTAGCAGCGGACTCTCGTCAGCTTCCTCGCTGGATTCTAAGAATCAAGGGACAAGAGTCAAAACACAGATAAAAAATTTCTCATTGTTCGCGACTTTTGTTTAATGGGTTTAACTAAATGACAACTTACCTGCAGTCTGCATGGTGAGATTTGCAGAACTTTTCTCGTCAAAAGTAGAATTTAGTGGCACTTCGATCGAATTGATCGTTTCCGAATGATTCGATGTACTTTGCGATCTTAATTCAGCCACCGTATTATTCGCTTCTTCGGGTACATTCGTTGCGAAAAAAGGCGATCGCTGCCCCTCGAGCAATTCATCGTCCGAAATCTTATTTTTCCGCGGAAGCGTCGATTTCAACCTACCAATGTAAAGATACTCAAATTTATATTTCTCTTAACAGGAACCTCTTTGAAAAAAATTTCAAGACATTGAGAGAATTAAAAAAAACAGGGATACATCTTTTCATTACCAAGACGTAGACGACCGTCGATCGTTCGCAAGTCGATTGTTATCTTGGCTGTGATTTTCCTTGTCATTAACCTCGATATTGTTGCTGTGCACTACACTCGATATATCCGTCCTATCATCCGCAGTACCGTTTCTCGTCACGGTTTCCCCATTTTCTGTGGGAGATTGAACCGAGGAATTGGTCGCCGACTTTGGCCGCAACACCAAACGTTTCGCGCTTGGTCGAGGTTGAAAGGCCTCGGTTATTACGGGATCTTCTTCTTCGAGGCCATCGAACAAAGATTTCTAGAACAGGTGTTGTGTTGTGAGAAGAATAATTTACTAATATAAATGGTATTTTTCAACGTTACACAATTGAATATTTGAAAATTAATTTGACAAATTTACCTTGGATAGCTGCACGGAACTGACAACTCTCGCTTTAATTTTCGGGGACTTGTTATTGGCAGTAACTCTGTATTGCGGACTGTTCAGTACTTTCGCGGCTGGATTAGTAGGTTTCAAGAGTTCGTCGGTCTTTCCGGATGCCTAAAAAAATATGGGTTGCAATTAAAGGTAAATTATGACGATACTTGTTGATTTATCTCAGTTGTAATCGTCTTAAGTCGAGATACCCACTGGTAAAAGATTCTTCAATAACGGCGAATCGCCGAATGGTGCGGAAACTAGAGCCAAGATTTGCTGATGCACCGGTACCGAACCGTTCGTTTTCGTATGATTTGATGCCACCCTAAAATATAAAACACACACACTCAATCTAGTACAGATAATTTTTAAGTATTGAAATAATCAAGGAAAATGGCTTGCAATTGGTCAGATTATTAAAATTGGAACTGTTAATGAGAAAGAGTTAAAATTAGAGCATAAATATCATGTTACCCTCCATTAAGCAAGCCCACTCCTGTTCCAGACATCATATTGGAGCCTGTTCCAAAAGTAGACGATCCAAACGTTCCAGGATTGTTGAACGTTGTATTGTTTCCGGTATTTCCGAACAGACTGCCCGGTTTTTGTTGGCCGAATAAGGAAGAGCCGCCGCCCAAACTTAAACCAGTATTCGTGCCTGCAATGTGTACATAATACATGTATACACATACATATTGATCGTATAACATTATAACAGACATAAATTTGAGTCCAATGTTAAAAGAAGAATAATTACCAAGTCCAGTTGAGGCTACGGGTGTAGTTCCAAAAGAAAATCCCGATGTTTGTCCGGCTGGTTTGAATGACGAGTTAAACAACGAGGTCCCAGCATTCGAGCCGGAATTGAAACCTGTACCAGTTCCAAATGTAGTAGGCGCGGCCGCGCCGAACGTAGACGTTGTTCCAAATCCGGTGGTGGTCGTTTTATTACCGAATAATGGTGTAGTGGAGTTCGTGGCCGGTTGACCAAAGCCAGTGAAGCCGGTGCTAGTCGATGTCGATGGAATATTAAAAGCAGACTTGTTCTGATTGAACAATCCGATACTCTGTAAACAAAGTATAATTGCTGTTTTCATTGTCAATGCAATGTGCGATGTACGCAGTGTTTGCTGTTATCTAAATAAAATTATATAGATGATTATCTAGATAAAATTTTAGCGTTATCTTATCTTTATATAGATAATAAAAATAAGTATTATCTATATCTGCATCTTAGATGAGAGAAAGTGTTATCTTTACTAAATTATCTAAGATAACGTACAGATAATTTGGTTTAGGGCCACATAAAAATACTTAACAGTTACACTGTAGACCATGCATTTATGTGTGTGTCATATAACTTAACCTGAATATATTCCATATCCCCCTTTTATTATTTAAATTTTTCTATAATTTTTTATAACTTTTTCTACTGCGTTTACATGAAGTCTTAAAAATATTATCTGAAAATTATCTAGATGAATCATCGTATAATTTTACCTTTTATCTAGATATATTCAAAACGAAATTAACTTTATCTTATCTAATTGTAAGATACATTTATCTTAGATAAAATCTTATGTAAGATAAAAAAAAATTTTTTATCTTATCTTTATCTAGCTAATTTTGAAAATCACCTATGCACAACACTGGATGTACGTTTGTACATTACCTGATTAGGTTGCGTGGAACCAAACGCAGATCCGAATCCTGTATTCTGCCCGGCATTGATGCTACCAAAACCCGTTCCAGCAGCCTGGTTAGTACTGCTAGTGCCAAAAAGGGGCGTCGGAGCGGCTGCTATACATCAAATTTTACACTTCACATTTCAGACTTTCTACGCTTTATTAAAAATATATTTTATTTATACCTGATACTGATAAAATTAAGTTAAATAGAGGAAACGAAAAAAAATATCATTTTTCCCCTCCTCGAATTGTCGACATGTTCGTGTATATTTTGATTCTTTTTATAATTCTCGCATATTTTAATATCGATCATGTACACGTGTATGAAACACAAGAAAATTATAAAAAGTATTTATAGAGAATATATCGTGGTAGGAACGCGCTGTACACAGTACAATATTCTGTGCTTAAAAAAAGCAATTTTTCCAGAAAAAATTACGTCCGAGCAATAGCTTTTAAACGAGAACAATTTAAAGCTCACGAATAAACGCTACAAATTACACTGCTTTCTCGTGTATTTTAACAAGCATGTATCTAATAGAGGAAAGTCCTCTATTATGAGATAGGATTTTAATATGAGAGCAGGTTTTCAACGTCCATAATTCCAATCGCAAATCTTTCTTCGCAACAATTACACGATCTAACAATCTATTTTCCACCCCAAGGGCAATAAATTCATGGTGGACCCAACAGACTATGCCTATTAATTTAGCAGAAACTCTGCTATCTCATATTAGAGGCCTATCTCATAATAGGGGACTTTCCTCTATAAAATATCACCACTTTGAATACAGCTTATGAGAAAAAATCTTTTGGCATATTAACGTTTATTTAATCTACTTGCAGTCGTTTTGGAGACACGAGTTCGAAATATTCGTGCGTATTGTCATAAAACCTTCAGAGAAATAGTAAAAGAACATACGTATGCGTTGTAACTCGGAGCTCTCGTTTCTTAGTTATAAATTGTTCTCACGCGAAAACTTTTATTCAAATGCCAGAACTTTTCCAGGACAAATTTCACTTTCCCTAGCACAAAGAATTACCCGGTGCGCGCAAATTCTGGGGCATCCCTGCACAATACATGCAGATTGATCGGAACTTATGAGACATACATTGGGATAAATAAAATAACTTACTACCAAATGGCTTTGTTTGAGTATTAGTACCAAACAGATTTGTGGTGGGTGTAGAATTGAACGCAAAGCTGTTGGTTGTTGTAGTTGCCGGCGTTCCAAAATTAGTAATGGGCTTTCCGAACAGTCCGGTCGATCCCGATTGGCTAGTGGTGCCAAATCCTCCGGTCATCGATCCAAATCCTTTAACAAATAAGATAAGCTAATAGACTACTTTCTAATTTTATCATAGAATAGTATTGTGCCAAAACGTACTCTTTATGTACATAACGTTTTCCCGTTCAAATGTATAAAAGTAAATAAAACTATCAAAATTATAATTGTCTTAGAGAATCTAAACATAACAATATTCAGACTTGTACAGGGTTGGCAAGCATATGTAAAGCATAACATTTATAATACATAATTGTACAATTGTACAAAGCAATAGTCCATAATATTGTATACATAAAATTACATATACAATTATACAATATAAATATGTACATACGTACAACACAATTGTACAGATTTATCATATAATTATTCATGTTTGTCAATCTACATTCGTCTGAATATCACTGTTTAGTTGACAAATGTTTTATATCGCACAACTTGCCTGTCCCAGCTGTGCTAGTACCAGCTGCTGTGCCACCAAACGGCGATGTTTGCGCCGACGCTCCAAAGAGTCCTGTCTGCGGACCTGTTCGAAGACAAAAAAAACAAGAGGTAAGCCAAAATGTCAAGTCTGGCGTTGAAATAGATCACGCAAAAGGCAGGGCTGGGTAAAATGCTTTTTGAATTGCATTTAAAATGCCAAATGCAAAATACCTGAAAAAAATGTATTTAAGATGCAAAATGTAAAATGGATTTTCCAAATCCATTTTAAATGTAAAATGGATAAATAGATATTTTAAATGGTTTTCAAATGCAAAATGGTTTTTTCTAGTATATGCAGTTTATTTGGTTATTAATACATATTATATATGTTTATTTGATAAACGCGCTGTTTAATTTGAGCAGCAATTGTTTTTCGAAAGTATCATCGTGCATACTTCGACGATTGGGGCGACAAATGATGCTCGT